CCACAAGGGCACACGAGGTTCTGCAGATTCACCGAGGAATCAATCGACACAAGAATGCATACCATGATGCTTCACATGCAACATGACTCATGACACTCTTGAAATGCACACATGTTTACGAACATACTCATGCATTCTACACATTTATCGCATATATTCATACAAACATCATAGATTTTTAATCAAGCTAAACAATGTACATAATTGCCCAAACGGCCATAATTCATAATCTAGGATTCACGCCATACGGCTACCCACAGCACATCACAAACCAGCATATAAGCTATTAAATCAAAGAAGGGTCGATCGCCACCGAAACCCCAAGCCACGACAGCACCACGCAACAGGGAAAATTCATCCTGCTACGTTCGTTACACGCTCGCCTAGCGAGCGTTCGCTACCTCCTCGCCTAGCGAACTGCTAGCGAGCAAGAACAGAGGCTACAGACCTCGTTCGCCACAGCGAACCTCCAGCGAGCTCCTCGCTACTCCCTGCGCAGCCAGCAAGGGACATCAGGATCTCACTGTCCCAAGTCTGGGACCGTTCACTGCACGCTCGCCTAGCGAGCTGCTAGCGAGTCGTTCGCTGCGTGCTCGCCTAGCGAGCTGCTAGCGAGTCGCCTGCGAACAGCAACATTCAGTTCTGCTCTAGCACCTCCAAACTCACCAAAATCACCCGATTAAATCCAAAGTTGTTCCAGTAGCCTTAGTCTAATATATATCATCTAACCTACATCATCTAATCATGATTCTAAACGTTAAACAACGATTCCTTTCGATTAAACCAAATTTAACCTAAAATGGAAAGTGTAGAAAAACTACCAACAATCCAAAACAATCCAACAAAATCATACATGATCATGCACATTGATAGAATAATAAAGTTTCACACCCTTACCCGATCAATCGAAAGCTTTGGTGATGATTTCTTGAAGTTCTAGGTTTTCCTCTTCTTTTCTCTCCACTTTCTCTTCTCCTCTTTCCTTCTCTTGTTTTTCTTTCTATGTTACTATATTCTTTTCTTTTCCTCTCTCATCTCATATTTCTATTTCTTTCCTCTCAAATTCTTTCCACACACTAATTAATCAATTCTCACAAAAATATCCACTTAGCATAATCACTAATGCCCAAAATACCCTCCAACTTATTTTTACCCGAAACACTCAAAATCGGTAAAAAGAGAAAATAGCATAATATGTACCCATAACATATTAAACACATAAATCCTATTTTTAAAATAATAATTCAATCAATTAAATTAAAAGGACTCAAAATAAAGGAAATCGGAATCGGGGCGTTACACTTGTTGCATGTCCAATTGTGTGATCTTGTGGAGTTTGTTTTTGCTTAATTATTAATGCATGTTCATCAATTGACTTTGCTTGATACATGTTCATATTCGATCTGTACATTGTCATATGTATTTCTTGAATTGTGATTGCATGATCATATTTTGTTGTTGAATTGCTTGATCAAATGCCAATTGTTGCTTAGTCTTAGATGTTTGCACTCTTGATGCTTATTTTGGTTTGTTATGCATGCTCATTGATGATCGTGGCTTGCTTAAGGTGTTGCTTTAAGTGTTCATGTATACTTGCTACTTGCACTTTTCACACCTGTTGTTCTGGAATTTGACGTGCTATTGATTGTGCATCCATACTGCCTGCTGCTTTTTACACCTGTTTTTGCCTGAATGCATGTGCAGAGGTGGCGGGAACTAGCAGCTAGAGTTCAACCCCCGATGGTGGAACGGGAATTAATTGATATGTTCGTGGCAACCCTGCCAGGAATATACTATAAGAAGTTAATTGGGAGCATGTATGGAAGTTTTTCTGATTTAATCATAACAGAGGAAAGAGTGGAAAATGGAATAAAATTGGGGAAGATACGGAGTGGATAAGGGTCTACATCAGGAGGAATGAGGAAGACATATGGGAATTCAAAGAAAAGGGAAGGAGACACGAATATTGTATCAGCTTACAGAAACAGAGGTTGAGCACAACATCAACAACAGTACCAGCCTCAACGTCAGTAACAAACTGCTAGTATAGCCATTCCGACTGTACCTCAACAACCTACAATTGCACCTCGCAGTTATCTAGATAGAGGAAGGATGGCCAATAGGCAGTTCGACACGCCTCTCATGCCTTACTCTCAATTACTGCAACATTTGCTACAGTTGCAACTTGTTCAGAAAAGGACTTTGGCGTCGCTTTTTGGCATACCTCACCAGGTTATGACGCAAATGCTAGGTGTGATTTTCATTCTGATGCTCCAAGTCATAACATTTATCATTATAAAGCTTTTAAGCATAAAGTGCAAGATTTGCTTGACTCCAAAGCAATCAATTTTACGAATGAGACCCCGAATGTGAATCAAAATCCTATGTCGAATCATGGGGTAGACAGAACTAATGTTGTTATCAAGGGAGAAAGGTTGAACCTGATAACTAATGTTGCGAAGTTGAAAACACCGTTGAGTTATGTGAAGGACAAATTGCTGAAGGGTGGTGTTTTTCTTGGCTGTTTAGAAAGCTGTGAGGGATGTGGTGTGCACCCAGAAGGATGTGTTGAGTTGAGAAATTATATTCAAAGTTTGATTAATGAGGGCAGTTTGCAATTTGACAGAGTAGTAGGAGAAGAAGATGTGAAGGAAGTTGATAATGAGCGGGATGAAATCGCAACGATTTCGATCCCATACCGAACAATTAATACTTCAGCGCCGCCGAGGCCAGCTCCTGTTATCATTACTATATAAGGACTAATGCCTTATGAGAGTACCAAGGCCATTCCTTATAACTATGGGGCAGAGGTATTTTACAATGGATACAAACAAGAGTTGATGGAGACGTCATCTAGAGGATTGTCTGTTGATAATGTTGTTGGAGTAGGAGGCTTGACTAGGAGTGGCAGAATGTTCTCTCCGCCGGATGCTAATATGGAAAGAAGTGACAAAGGTAAAGGAAAAGCTGCAGTAGAAGAGGGTCAGCAATAGGGAGACAAAGACTCCTTGGCCAAAGATGCTGAAGAGTTCACGCGACTCATTCACAAAAGTGATTACAAAATTGTAGATCACTTACAGCAGACACCTTCTAAGATCTCGATCTTGTTATTGTTGTTATGCTTTAAGGCATATAGAAATGCTTTGCTAAGGATCTTGAACACGACTTATGTACCGCAAGAAATTTATGTTAATTGGCTTGAAGGAGTAGTGGCTCATGTTAACGCTGGTAATGGTTTGGGCTTCACAGATTTGGATCTAACTCCCGCTCGGAGAAATCACAACCATGATCTACATATATCTATAGAGTGTAGGGGTTGTTTTGTCTCGTGTGCAAGTTTATACAGGATCATCACTCAAACGTGTTTCCCAAGAAAGCATTGATGAAGTTGGACACCCAAGGTTTGATTTATACTCTCAGTGATCTGGTGGTGAGAGCTTCTTATGGGACTAGAAGGTCAGTGTTTGGTGAAGTCACATTGCCGATTCAGGTGGGCCCAGAAATCTTTGACGCTGTTTTCTATATCATGGATATCCAGCCTGCTTATAGTTGTTTACTCGGCCGGCCACGGATTGCCGATTCGCTTTTTCCAATTATGATCAACTCCATACCCTTCAAACTCTTTCCATTTTTCTTCCCATCCAATTTCAGTCACTTTTGGAAAATTTCTTATTACTGCCCATATATCTTGACCTATGGAAATGGGAGGTGGGTCGTCTTTCATAACCCTATTTTTTATGAAACTTCTTTTACTCCTTCCGAAAGAGTGATTAGTTGGCAAGAAACGACGATGACAGTCAAACCAAGAATTCTTATGGCAACTTTTCAAGGTAAAAGCATCTGTGTGTTCCATACAATGAGGGCATGCCAGCTTACCTTGTATTCCCCATCCAGATAACATATTGTAGGCCGGAAAATCATTAATTGTCCACATCAAGCAGACTTTCATGATGAAGTTTTGTTTTGTGGATATATCATATGTTAAAACTCCATTGGACCATAATAGACATAAATCATCAATCAATGGTTGCAAGTAGACATCTATCTTCAATTTAGGATTGTGAGGTACAGGTATGAGACAAGCAAGAAACAAGTATGGTTTGGTCATGCACATTTCAGGGGGAAGATTGTATGGAGTAACTATTACTAGCCAACATGAGTATGGAGAAGCAGATGCTTGAATGTAAGGAGTAAATCCATCTGAATACAAACCCAATCTTACATTTCTGGGTTCCCTAGCAAAGTCAGGATATACATCATCAAAATGTTTCCACGCTTTTCCATCAGATGGATGACGAAGGACGTTGGAACTATTTTTGTTCATTTGATGCCATCTCATTTCAGTTGCCGATTCGTTTGATGCATATAGTATTTGTAATCCAGGAATGATTGGAAAATAAAACATCCTCTTCACTAGGATATCTTTGTACTTTCCCATGCCAGTCTTGTGAGGAATGAACCTAGGAGCATTACAAAATTTGCACTCAGACAACTTACTATCATCCTTGTAGTATAACATGCAACCATTCTTACAAAAATCAATCTTCTTAACCTTTAGCCCTAACTTAGACACCAACTGTGATGCTTGGTAATAGTTCTCAGACAAACATTTTGGAACTGGACATACACTTTTAAGCATTTGTGCAACAAAATCTAAACCTTTTGTGGAACATGCCAGTTAGACCTAATTTCAAGAAGTTGAGTAGATATTGATAACATCGACTGGGAGCTCCCTCGTAGATAGGCTTGTTAAAAGATATCAACTTGTCATAAAACTGTTTAACTTTTTCGTTGGGAAACTCATCCTCCAAAAATTTCTCTTGTTCCATGTTATCATTCGCGTGAGAGAAACCTCCATGAGGCCTAAATGCATCATACACCATTTGATCCATGGCCTCAAACTGGTCAGCTTGATGCACATGTTCACTACTATTTGAGCCACCCCTTGTATCAATATTGAGCTCCACTTCTCCATGTTGAGTCCAAATCCAATAGTTTGGTTAAAATCCATCTTGATATAAGTGAAGTCTTACATTAGTTGTTGTACTTATCTTACAACACTTGCAATTTATGCACGGACACCTTATCCCTCCCTCAAATTTACAAATGGGTTGATTCAAAGCCTTCTTCACAAACTTTTTAACCCCACGAACACATTCTTCTTTCAATCCGCGTCTATCAGAATATGCTCTATTATACATCCAAGTACGATCCATTTTCTATATAGCAAACAATTAACATGTGAGTCACTAAACATTAAAACACATATTGTCTAAATTTAGAGGAACCAATATGTTTAGTTTTGTTCCAATTTTTGAACTTAAATGTACTCAAAATAAATACTAGTACATTGTTGATCCTACAACTATAATGACATTAATTAAAAAGGGAGTGGGAACAATACATTGTTGTTTCAATTTATAAAAAGTGATGTTATCCAGTCTTATGGCGGGTTAAAAAGTGATGTTATCAAGTCCTATAAAAAGGAACCAATATGTTTAGTGTTGTTCCAATTTATCCAGTCTTATGGCAGGTTAAATTATTCTTACAAACCATCTACGATTAATAATATCACATAGATAAATTTCTTTATCATCTAATGATGTTATCCTACGTTGCTTATGATGGTTTTATTGTTTCAAACAGTTGAATCTTCCTGACAGATTCGATATCTACAGTACTGGTCTAATATTTCTCCAAATGGTGAGTATCAAATAATGAGGAAACTGATCATTATCTTTTGTTGCTCTTATTTGAATCAAACTGGTATTCTATTCTATATTGCTCACAATCTTGTGAAGGTGAGAAAATTACATAGAAGGGGGGGTTGAATAAGTATGACAAATAATCAAAGATTTAAACACAATTATTTTTATCCTGGTTCGTTGAACACAACTACTCCAGTCCACCCTCTCAAGAGTGATTTGCCTTTCTCTGTCAAGGACTTAATCCACTATTTAATCAAACAGATTACAATAGTAACACCTAAGAACAACTGTTCTTAGTCTTCTCAAGAGCAACTGATCCCAACTGGATCCTCTTAAGGAAAACCTTTTACAAACAATGTAAAACTATTACAAGAGTAAGAATGCTTCTAATAAGTTGTTATCACAACCGCGATGTTTCTCTTAAGTTAAGAACAATGTTATAGCAAAATAAAATTATAAGAGCTTTGAGAGTTTTGCTTTGATGAGTGATTTTTGCAAGTAATTCGTTGCTGAAGAAGATGGAGTGGACTTCTTTATATAGGCACTTAGATCCATGAAGTCTTCTCAACGTTGAAGGCTGTGCTGAAAAGCCTGGAGCCTTTTGTCTTTACATTGGAGGTTGTGCTGAAAAAGCCTGATGCCTTTTGTCTTCACTTAGCAGAAACTTTCCTTAGAATGGAATGCACAGATAAAACCTTTTTGTCTATGTTCTTGTGTCTAGCACAAAAGAGGAAATAGCTGTTGAGATATGCCAACGTACATATTTAAATCTTCTTCACTAAAATAAGTTCAGCTATCAACATTAGAGTCTGGATCTTCAGAATCTCCAGAGTAGAGATCTTCTGGATCTTCAGAGTCTTAGATGTTCTTCATATTGAGCTGAATCAGAGTATGTGCAGCTTGTGTGCTTGAGCGTGTAAATCTATCAGAGCAGAGTCTTCTATATCAGATTCTCAATACTTTAGCAGCGCAATATCTTCGGAGTCTTCTGATGACTAAGCTTCTGATCTCTCAGAGTCTTCTATTCTTTAGAGGCTCCTGCTTCAGAATCTTCAGTAGACAGCATTCAGATTTTCTGGGAGCAGCGTTCAGATCTTCATTTGAGATGCTCTTGAACCTTTGAAGCCTTTCATAATATCATTGTTCAGATGCAAATTTGCTCTTTTAAGAATATTTTCTTTAGTACCTGTAGCAAACAGTCTAGAACAAATTTAGAGTACATAATTCTTGAATACAAAATTCATAAGTGTTATCATCAAAACATAGAGATATAACTAAGAAACAATCTGTGTTCTTACATCTTGACCACTCTTATATAGGCATTTCCTGGTCTGCACACTGATAGTAGTCTCATACATTGACAAATGAATAACCATGGCATATTCTTATCCACCACGGTCCATTCTATGACCATGGAATTATCCAAGCACCATGGAATATTCTAAATCTAACAAGACAATAAAAGTAACAAAATAATATAATTATACTGTTATATACCCTATATTATTATATAGAAAAAACCATGAAAACCAATGCATGATAAACACATAGCCTTATTAGGTCCTAATTCATTCAATTTAAATACACTTCACTCATCTCCATTTGAACACTCCCTTTGATCACTCACTACCTTGTTCAAAAAGTTTGGAACAAATCCCTAACCTTGCCATGAAATTCTGGAAGATCTTGAAGAGACAGATTGAACAGACCCTCCCCGAGTGGCGCGACAAGTTCTTGTCCTACAAAAACTTGAAGAAACAGTTGGAGATTATGTGTTCTAAGGATGCTTGCACCCCTCCGAAATTGGATGCTTTCCAGGTCCACCACTTCCTTTGTCTATTAGAAGTTGAGATTGATAAGTTCAACATTTTCTTTGTTAACAAGGAAGAAGAATACATCATCAAATGAAAGGTAACATAACTTAGTTAGCCTTTATTTTCAATTTCGTCTTAGATCTCAATACGTGTTTGACCGGCCCTGACATCTGTTGTATGTTTTATAATTTTCTTTTTGTAGTTGTTGCAAGACAGAGTTGACGGAGCCATGGATTACTCTGATGCGGAGTTAATGTCATTAGGCAGGGAAATAGTGGATTTTCATGGAGAGATGATTTTGCTAGAGAACTATAGTGCACTTAATTACACAGGCATTATATATATATATATATATATGTGTGTGTGTGTGTGTGTGTGTGTGTGTGTGTGTGTGTGTGTGTGTGTGTGTGTGTGTGTGTGTGTGTGTGTGTGTGTGTGTGTGTGTGTGTGTGTGTGTGTGAATAATCTAAACTTGTGTGTTTTTTTAATTCATTTGAGAGAGAAATTTATCAGATTCTATAGATTATGCAGGTCTAGTGAACATAATAAAGAAACACGATAAACGAATCGACGCTCTCCTTCGCCTGCCTTTTATTCAAGAGGTGTTAAACCAGCCCTTTTTTGAAACGTATGTGCTTAATAGTCTTGTGAAGGAGTGTGAGATGATATTAAACATTCTTTTCGCCAATAACGATGAGTCGACTTTTCCGTGTTCATCAACTAGTGAGGAAACTGAGGAAGGCGAAGACGAAGACGGATGTGGCTCGAATATGATTAAGGATGAAAATAAAGTGAAACTTATGCAGGCTCCTAACGAGCTCGCTGAAATTGAAAATATGGAGAATTTGTTCATCAAACTAACTTCCTGTATTCTATTCTATATTGCTCATAATTTTGACCACTCTCATATAGGCATTTAGATGGTGGAATAGGTTGGGAACTTCTGACTTCAATGGTTCGATACAAAGCAAGGCAAAGGCTGAGTGCAAAAGCAGCATTAACTCATCCCTACTTTGACAAAGAAGGTTTGCTGGCGCTGTCTTTTATGCAAATTTTGAGGCTACGGTTCTTTCGAGCTACTAAGCAGGATTATGGAGAAGCTACCAAGTGGATTATTCAACTTATGGCAAGATCAGGAACACAAAAGGAAGGCAGATTCACTAAAGCTTAGCTCCAGGAACTTAGAGTATGTATCTTAATTCTGCAATGACATGGTCACACTCACACCACCTTTCTTTAAGACATAAGCTCTTATCAATCATTTTTTGTATTGTAGGAAATTGTGCCCAAGAAAAATCTGGTGCAAAGAGAAATGCTCTAGCTTCAGCTCTTAAAGTACAGAGGAAAATTATAAAAACCTTAAATGAGAGTATGGATGAGCTCAGCAGAAACAGGAAAAGCATTTGGTGGAGAAGATGGATCTCAAGAGAGGAATGAAAGCTGTAAATACATAATGCCTTTTATTCTAATATCATATTCCCATTAAAATAGAATATGATGTGTTAATATCATAGTTTATCTTATAACAAAGTTATGACCACCCTTTATTCTAATATCATATTCCCATTAAAACGGAATATGATGTGTTAATATCATATGCCCTTTATTCTAATTTTTCCATAAACTCACATGTTCAGAAATACGTTCAATATACTTTCTTCTCTCTGATTGCCTCGCCGTAGTCTCTAACCAACACCGTCACACCAGAGTTTAGGCTCTGTTAATTAATCCAAGTTTAATTCAGTTGAGAGCGAGGATTGTGTTAAATCTCAGTTAGGGTTGGAATTAGAAATTCATGGAAAGTTAGTTAGAGTTAGTTGAATTCTGTTATAACTTAGCTAGCATTGGGCTGTTTGATAGGGAGTTAGTTTAGTTAAGTGAGGTTGGAATGATAGGTGATGATTCAAAATTTTGCTAAAGGGGGCATTGAGATAGGTTAGTTACAATGAAGTTGTTAATTGATGTAGTAATGTTAGGTGTTATAAAATGCAGTTAGATCAAAAGATTAGAATGTTCATGAGTTAGTGAAACTGAATTCAAATAACCTGGACATTAGACACAACCTCGCCAACCACTCCAAATACACGACTCACATAAATTAAATTGTAAAGGATATCCAAAACATACAACATCATGACAACATGAACCAATAGCAATAAATAAAGGGCACTATTCAATATTCCATTAAAAGAGACCAATATATTGTTGAACATCAATAGAATGACAATTAAAAAACATGAAGTATAATCTGTCTATAGAAGCTTAATATGATTCATAATAATAGTCATGTACCTCAATTGCAGTTGTATGATAGTGTTTTGTGTTTGAAATTCCCAGCGAGCCTTCAATAAAGTTATGCAAGAATCAAGACGAAGACATGAAAAACAGTGGGAAAAGGAGAAGAGAAAGGGGAAAAAGTACCTGATGAACATGAAACAAACAAAATCAATTTGATTCACCCCATCTCTCAACTATCATGTGAAGAGATAAAAATGAAGAGATGATCTTGCAGATGGGAATCGATGATCTTGAAGAAGAAAACGAAGAGATGATCTCTCAACAACCATACAAAATTGATTTCGTTTGATTTTAGGGGTTTTTTTCTTCTGAAAATCTATTTGGTTTAATTTTACGGTTTTTGATTCTGAACATTTCGTATAATAGAGAGAAAGGGGATAAAGGAATTAAGAGGGA